CTACACACCTGGGACTCAGAACATTGATGCTCTCCTACACATCTGGGACTCAGAGCACTAACACTCAGTGACACACCTTGGACATAGAGCACTGATGCTCTCCTACACAAGTGGGACTCAGAGCACTAATACTCAGTGACACACCTGGGACACAGAGCACTGATGCTCTCCTACACACCTGGGACTCAGAACATTGATGCTGTCCTACACATCTGGGACTCAGAGCACTAACACTCAGTGACACACCTTGGACACAGAGCACTGATGCTCTCCTACACACCTGGGACTCAAAACCTTGAATCAGCGCACGGACACCTGACTGCGCCCCCTGGGATATATTAACAATGTATAGCCGTAATACTAACGCGCAAATCCGGCGGGTCGGGGTTCGGCGGACGGGGCGGCCGGTTCGGTGCGAGGGTTAAAGCGGCGTGGAGGGGGGGGGCGGGGTGGAGAGGCCGCGCGAGCAAATCAGCGGCCGCAGCGCGCGTCATGTGCTGCGAGGCTCGGCCGGGGATTTGGGGACGGGCGCTCGTGCAGTGTTAAATTGATCAGGCTCTCATTACTGCTCAGCCTGCCAGCTCTTCGGAGGCGCTCCATCTCTCTCTTTCTCTCTGTCCCGGGATTGTCTTTCGGCTCGGAGATACCCAGCCCGGCACGGCCGAGCCGAACACGCAGCGCAGCGCAGCAGCGGCGGCTCAGAGGAGGAGGGGGGGGGGGTGTGCGCGTGTGTGTGGAGGAGTCCGAGCATGCGGGACTCGCGCGGGCTTGCGGTTCCTCTGTAGCGCCCCGAGCTGCCCTCGAGCTGTCGCGACCGGCCGTGTGGGTCTCCGCTCGCCGCCGGCTGGACTGACGATGTCCCAGCTCCGGCTCCTCGAGCCCCGCGGACCGCGTCTCTGCCGGATGTCCCCGCTGGCTTGGGAGATCAGATGATGGGAATGACAGCGAGGATGTTGCCTTGTTTTTGAGGAGAGAAAAAAAAAAACCCGAAAAGATCCACCGCGTCTTTTTTTAAAAAATAAAGTAGATATACAGCAACGAGCAAAAAGGCTGCGATAGCAGAATTCCGCCGAGCCCGAGCCCGAGCCCGAGCCTCCCGCCCGGCGCGTAGTCACAGATGTCGGTGTCTCGGGGAGTGCTCGCGGAGCTGGGAGGAAGCAGGTCGCTGGACTGTGTCAAACATTGCGGATCTGGCAAAAAATAAATAATTAAAGTGTTTTTGTATAGTCAAGCCTCGGATGGTTTTTTTTGTTTTTTGTTTTTTTTTTTAAAAAAAACCACATTCGAATCGAAGATGCACAGCTGAAGCCACGAAAATCCAGTCGTTCCCCTCCTGTCGACTCCGGCGTGTAATTGGGGGCTGATGCGGGGGTCCTGCGCCCGGAGCCCTCAGGGTAAATCTGCGGAATCCGAGCAGCGCCTGCGGGGCACCGAGAGCGGTGGGGAGGCTTCGCCGGGAGGACGTGGGGGATATCCGATCTAAGAGCGGGGCATAGGAGCGCGCAGTTTGCTTCGAGTGCTTGAGCCGCGAGGCGGGGGAGCGCGGAGGGACCCAGGCGCACACGCGACCCGCCAGCTCGCGCCGAACCCCTGGTGTGGAGCACGGTGGCCGATGGGCCGTGATGTGGCAGTGCTGCTCCGTATATTCGCCTTCTCTGCTGCTGCGTAACGACTGGCGCTTGGCGTCGTTAGAATGGCTCGGTTCGGAGACGAGGTGCCGTCCAGGTATGGCGGAGGACCCGGCCAGGGGGGACCCGGACGCGGGGGCAGCAGGCAGGGGGGCCCGCCCGGAGCCCAGAGGATGTACAAGCAGTCCATGGCCCAGCGCGCCCGGACCATGGCCCTGTACAACCCCATCCCGGTCCGGCAGAACTGCTTCACCGTCAACCGCTCCCTGTTTCTCTTCAGCGAGGACAACGTGGTGAGAAAATACGCCAAAAAGATTACTGAATGGCCATATCCTTTACCGCTGCCTAGCGCAGTGCGGGGCGCCCTGCGCGCTGCGGGCGAGGACGCGGGTGCTCTCTGGTGTAGAGACGGGGGTGAGCGGTGGGCGGGCGGGCGCTGCTGTGCCGGCCGCAGGACAGGGGCTACTGGGCTCCCAGCTGTTGCTACAGCTGGCAGGGGAGGACGGAAAGGGACATTTTATCGAATGAGAGATCATTGCATAAGATGGTAGGCTACTCATCGCAATATTACTGCATATTGCTGCCGCTGCCGCCCTTAGAAATACGAACAGCGTGTTAAGCACGCGGATTATCCTTCTTATCGCCGTTCTGCACCAGTGTTGATGTGTTTATTAACAGGCTTATGTTTTAGGATGGAGACAGCAGGTATCCGTTTACAGAGCCGGGCGATAAGACGCGCTGTAGGAGAGAGAGAGAGAGATTTCGATTTCCTCTCGTGTGCGCGGGGAAGAGTGCAACAGGACCGCCGCGCTGTTCTCGGTTTCTCAGGATGCATGACCTTAGCGGGGTGCGCGTGTGTGCGTGTGAGAGAGAGAGAGAGAGAGGCGCGTGTGCTCGGTGCACGCTCAGACACAAGCACGCACGCACGCGGGCAGAGCAGCGCAGTGGAGCAGCGCGTGGGGGAGTCGGTGTATCTGGGCTGCGTTCGCGTCCGCGCTGGCTGCTGCTGCTGCTGATGTCAGCATGTGTGACTCTCAGCTGCTGGCAGGGAGGGAGGCGCGCCATCCATTTCTGTGGGCTCTGTGCAAAAACAACCTTAGGCTGTGTGTGTGTGGCGGGGTCCGGCCGTGTGGCCACTACCACACCCTGGGTGACGGCGCAGCACAGGTGTGTAAGCATGTGTGCAGCAGGCAGGAGGATCTCAGGGTACCTGTCGTGTTCCGAGTGCGAGGACAGTGGCTCTCTGCGGGGAGAGAGGCAGAGCTACAGTCTGGGTCTCTTCCTGGGCCGCTTGAGCGATGAGGGTGGTGCAGCGTAGCACATGAAGGAGCTCTGCTTGCAGTGCCTCTCTGTAGGGCCTGCT